GGGGGGGGGGGGCTTTATGAAATAAGTGTCCAAAGCAGTCGCGAGTGACGGAAAAATAAAAGGAAATAATTTTTCTAGAAGAGGTGCTACGCCACCGCACGATTACAAGAGGTAAGCCAACATTGAGTACATGCTCGCTCAGAAGAGTTTAAATCTAAGAGAGGGTCACAAAAAATAATACTGACGGAGCACAGTGTGGGAACAGTGCAACGGTGCAATAAACAGTCACGACAAATAAATAAGGATTGTCCTAGTGGCGCGCCATCGTCACATAACCGAGAAAGTTAAATTCAGCCTTTCCTTAGAGTCCCAGATTTGATTTGAAAAGGCAAAATTGAATTGAGATGCGTTGCTAACAATAATCGACGATCAAGCGAAATAAAAAGGAAGGTGCATCTTAGCAGCCGTGTGCTGAAGCACGTGCGTACGCTACGCTTAGAATATACTAAAATGAACATAAATAAGGGCACGGACTTCAAAATGCAGTACAAATGGAGACGTGAAAAGAAGTGATGTTATGCAAGAATGAGTAAGAATAGATGATTGAAATAATAAGACACAGACGGAAATAGTGGTAGACCGGCGGTGCTCCGTGGTCTATGTACCAGCCACACCGGTCAGACACAAGCAGGTAGACGGTCATAGACTAGCAGGTAGACGGGGTAGACATTAGACAGGCAGACAGAGAGACAAAAAAGGATAGATGGACAGACAGACAGACAGACAGACAGACTTTGTGACTCACCCTCTACGTCCGTGCGAGAGCTCCCGGCGCGTCGCACTGACGACCTCCTGCTCACGTACTCGGACATGTCGTCGCCGTTTTGGACCGCGTCCTGACTACTCTCCTGCTTCACTTCCTCCTGCTTCACCTCCTCCTGCTTCACCTCCTCCTGCTTCACCTCCTCCTCCTGGACGTTGTCCTCCTCCGGGAGGTGCTCGAGGGCGTCCTCGAATACCTCCTCGACGACTCTGGCCTTCTTGCTGTCGTCGAGCTCGGCAAGCGGCTCGTCCTTGCGCTTGAGCGCGCTCGCGTCCGGAGCCGGCGTCACGGGCTCCTCGATGAGGGGCTCGGGGGTCGGGGGCGCCTCCTCGACCTGCACCTTGTGGATGATGACCTTGTGCCGGGGTGGCTGCTGGGGCTCGGTCACCGAGGAGGACACGGCTTCGTCCTCCTTGAGGTGTAGGTCGTCGGCCGCGTGCTCGGCGAGAGCGACTGCGGACAGACTGGCGTCAGACCTGAAGCACTACAAGAAGGGTAACGACGTGTTCGTCAGCGGCACTCACGCGAGTCTGCGGCGTACAGCCGGATCTCCTTGAGCCACGCGTCCTTGGCGCTGTCGTTGTGTGCCGAGATGGTCAGCGGGTAGGGTCGGACTTCGCCGTCCTGGTGGCGCAGCTGAAACGCCCTGGAGTTGTCGGGAAGGTCCTTGACCTCGACCTCAGGTAGCTGCGAACGTCAAGGGCGTAAGTAAAGGTCACCGACGGTTTGAAAAGTAGCTTGCACCCCCCCCCCCTCATTTTTCCTTTCCACTCCCTCTCACAGACAGACAGAAAGGGAAATGGATACTCACCCTAATAATATCCTTTAGCACGAACACTGATCGGTCTTCCGATATCCTGCGTACTTTGCACACTAAAATGCGAGCTTTGAAGAGGAAAAGGTATCGTTCCTTGTTCTTGCCGTCCCGGTAAGTGACAGTGAACCAGTCCTAAACGCAAAAATGCAAAATCAATGTGAGACCATCTTTAAAGCCCTTCATAAAGTAAGAGACGCGTTTATGTCTGCAGCTGAATATGTATCCGGAAAAATGTGTTTCCTAAAAATAACTTTCTTACGTGTCTCAATAGTCTTCCAAGCTTGTAGATGTTGCCGTGGTAGCCCTCGATATTCGAGATGAACTTGATGTCGTTGGCCCGGTGAGGGACCCCTAGCATCAACTCGAGAGCGCGGCCAAGGTCGGACGTGTCCTCTCCAAGCCTGGATGAATACCTTACCAACTCCTGGAAACGTGGAAGACACACGTAAGATCGACAAAGTCCAAAGTAAAAAAAATACAGTACATAGGGAAAACGGAACAAACAAATCAAACTAGTGGTAAAGTCTCGAGACGTGAAAAACGACAAGCCGCGAGAAAGAGACAAGTTTTCGTCAAGAAATCGAAGCCGAGTTTCGCGGCACGTCAGTGCGGGGGTGGGGCATGCGCGGGGGAGTTTCTCTTTCGGATCGCGCGAAACCTTGACGGCACCGTGCCAGCAAACCAGCCAGCCAGCCAGCCCCAGCAGCCCACAGCTGACTGGCCCGCGGGGTGTGGTTTTCTAGAGAGAACTCTGCGGTGCGCGGGCCAGGCGCGACTCGAGCGCCATCAGCAGCGGTAAACACCAGCTGCAGTCCCGATGCACGCAAGATGGAACCGCCGTCGATAAGAGGTCCAAAACTACCCTCTAGTTTAAATAGAATAATTCACGAAATACGTACGTGAGCGTGCAGGCAATCAATTTGAGCGAGCGCATTTTTAACTAACTAAACGTTTATCAGATTGCCGGCAAGTTTACAGAGTTTACTACAATATTGACTGTGAATCCCGCGACCTTTACACGATTTTACGCTATCATTTTCTTGGCGGCTGGCCGACGCATTGGCGCCGCGGTTACGCAAAGTGTCCACATTCTCGCCTCCCCTCCACGGCGGTACTCCTTTCCTCAGTCCACTGTAAAAATTGTTGTATGAAGGTTTCAAGCACGAAAGAAAATAAATATTAGTTGTAGTTGGCATAGCGGATGTGTGAGTTGTGAGTGAACAAATTTTTAGAGCCATTACACCAAAACTTTTCTGTAGGAGCAATGTTTTGGTTTTGTCACAGCAGAAAGTTGAGGGACCCTCGACAACTACTGATAACGAAACTTAAGTCCCTAGATAATACATATTGCTAAAATTTTTGGATGAGATGGTTTAAGAAATAGTTGATTTACTGTCAAATCGCCATTTTTCTATTCCAACTATTTTCTTTCGCGTGGGGAAATTTTCCATGAACAATGTTGAGACGATTTAAAGTTAAAGAAAACAACGAAATTCTGAAGACACTACGGACTGATTTGGTTCTCTTCGTCGAGCAGTTAAGTGAATGGGATGGGGTAAAGTAACAATACCGACCGAATATGTACGACACATCGTTCGTCAATTGTAAATAACAAATAATACAGTGACTTCACAGAGAAATCTTGGACAGAGTCGCACCCTGCAGTACCGTGCGTGGGAGGGAGATGGATGGGCAGCGAAGAGGCGGCCCCGCCGCGCGAGCCGGGCGAGAGCCGGGCGCCCCGCCCCCAGACGCGCGGGCCTTGGTCGGAATATTATGTTGACGTCCTACTTTTGAACCTCGCGCCCAGCCAGTGCAACCCGGCTAGCCGAGCCAGCCCCACTGTGACTCAGCCTGGGGAGGGTAAAGGTGCCTCCACAATGAACGTTCTGGTAGAAGGAGACGGTTCCCTCAGCAACGCTACTACCACTATAAAAAATATCAACGTACAATTTTCAAAATATTTTGTGGCATGTTTTGACAGCCATTTTTTGCTTGTGGACAAATTCCATGTCGACACGTGGTGCTTTTAATTTTAAAATTTTAAAATTGTTATTTCCCTACACGCTTCCTTCAATTTTTTTCCCGTAAGGACTACAACTAACTGTGTAACAGTGTAACAGTTTACTGATGTGAGGCACCGATAAAAAACGTTCGGCACCCATCGCCTTTGACCCGTCACTGACAAGTTGCCCCCACCATGAAACGTCCCCAGTTGGAACGTTTCCTGTGGTAACGACGTTTCCTGTGGTAAAGACGCGGCAACATCGGCGTTCATTTAATTAAACCGGACGCGTCGGCAGCAAGCGTTTCTCTAGGAGATGCGAGGGAACGTTGGACGGCTTAAACAATTTGGTATCAACTCTAGCAGCAGCGGCAACGAAAGTAAAATATTATTTTACAACTAATTTTTAAAAGTGAACTTGCTCCTTATTACTGATTGAAGGCACTTAATTTGGATTTGTCATACTTTCATCACAAAACTTCGCGATGACTTGGATTTGCGATACCATCAATCTATCGCTTTTCTTGATGTGTTAGATAAAATCATGCAATGGAAAGCATGACAGGGAGTTATCGCAAAAGTAATGTGATAACTTTTTATCGCAAATTTTGGTGATAAATATAATGAAAGCTTCAGTTTATACACTAATCCTCGCGATATAAAGGTATAACACTATTTTTGCGATAACTTTCCCTAATACTTATCATTGCATGTTCTTTCTGAAGAAAAACTTATCATGTTTATAAAAGCGATAGTCGAAATCATAACAAGTCACGCGTTATGACAGAACTTGGGTGGTTTATCACAAATCTAGATTCAGATGGATTTATGTGTCATGAAATTATTCAACGAAGCTCTTTCAAAGTACAAAAACTGAGCTAGGACGCTAAACGTTTAAATATTAATCAAATTTAATCACAACTTACCTTGAGCAAAAGTTGATAGTCGTTAATACGTTGGATTGGGAGCTTGAGATGTTCGGATAAGTTCTTGTCGTCCCCAAGTTTTTGGCTGAGTTCCTGCCACAAAGAGAGTATGAGCGTAAGTCAGAAAAGTAGAATCATTGGTTCGCGTAGTCATCCCTTCCTTCTTTCCGCTGTAGGCCAATTCATAAATCTGTTGAGTGCGCAACTAGACTGCATGCACCGGATGGGGCGCAGGGTAAAGGCGGCCATGGCTCGGCTACCGAGAGAGCAGAGGGGAGGAGAGGGAGGGGGGGGGGCAATATTTACGTTGGCAGTGCTGCCACCCCGAGCAACATGTGTCCGCACGCGGTGCGTTGAAACCAGACGCCTCCACCCGACGAGACGGGACGTCAATCCACGTCAAAGGGGGCAAACTATACCAACACGGCTCGTATATGAAGAGAACTTTAAGGGAACATCGTTTGAAAATTAGGTGTACGGCGCCACGCCTCAGTCCCAGCATATGATAACATGTTTACCGTCCAACGATTTTGCCGGTAATTTAACTAAACTTTAAGGTCGCATAAGAAAATTTAAACAAGATAAAATTTTAGAAGACAAAGTTGTTTGTGAAACCGTAGTCACATATGCGTGTGTCACTCACAATAAAAGTATTTTATATTTGAGTGATGGCACCTGCTGGAACAACAACAGCATCTGCAGTAGCGGCAGCAGTTACAACAACAAGTTTCCTTTCCACAGCCAAATTTCTAAACTTAATACGGCATGTACAAACAATGGTTCGAGAATTTGTTAGAAAAAATGACAAGTGGCGGTAGTGTTTTCTAAGAGCCGGTAACGTTGGCGGTGCGTCTTCACGGCAAGGCAAATTAAAGCGCGTTGGCTAGAGGGTCGCCATTGTCTGATTGTCTAGAGAGGTTCCGGCCCACCCCACCCAGCGTCAGCTGTCACTGCGAAGCAGCTGCCGGCACGGGAGGAAAGTACACCGTCAAATAAAGCAAAATGGTAAAAAGAAAGATCTTCAGAAAGAGAAAAAACAGTTTTCCACACAGCGAGATGTCCCCGTGGTTGCTTCAATCATTTTTAACATTTTGTCGCCTCTCGAAGTAAATAAAGATAATTCTATGTAAATCTTGTAGTTGTAGGACTCCCAGCGCACAACCAAGAGATGAAATCTATCAGGTATTCCATTCCTGTATAAGTCTCCATCCATTCATGAGACAGTTGCACACCACTGGCGTGAAAGCAATCCAAACGGAGCCAAACACACACACTCACTGTAGGTATTCCACAAAATCCGATGTCACTTCACTTATTGCCTTCACTCAACTCGCGGCGCGAAACAATTTCCCGCTCGTTTGAAAACTCGCGGTAATTTTTTTTCCCGTTATGTGTTGTTTTTGTTTTTCTCGCGGCCTCGGACCGACGACTTCGTAGCCGTCGTGGTCGGCGCGGCGGCCTCGGCGACGTGCGAGTCGGCGTCGCGGGCGGTTCGGGGCCTGGGTCGGGTCGCGATGCTGCGGCCGTGGGAGATGGTCGGCGACTGACGGGAGCCCGCGCCGCCTCCCGCATTCTGCCCACCAAATGAGGGCCGGACTCACCGCTAATTTTAGCGTCGCGAACCTCGGATTTCTCTCTCGCTCCCACACTCACAGACTGGGGCCGCGGCGGCGGGCTGCAGTCCGGTTCGCTCCCACCCGCTACATCCAACCCACCTAGCGCGGCGTGCACGGCCCCCTCGGCCGCTCGGGTTCTCACGCCCCCTCGGCCGCCTCCTACTCCGCCCCCTTTTTGCACGACGACGAGCAGTGAACGAGCGATGGGCGAACGTTGATGAGATGTTTCTAACGTCGTACGACGACAAGTACGTAAGAATTTGGAGCATTCCGACACTATCGGATGAAGGCTTGTTAAAAGGCAGTAAAAAGCAACGGAAAATCAAAAGGACAGGAGCGGTAAATATTTTCCGAATTTCTGAATTAGTTTTTACGATTTAAGTAAAATGGCTCTTCCCGGCCCCTATCCTATTGTGAGGAACGATGACATGATACAATACAAATATGAGGTACCAGTTTTTAAACATTTTCATTATTTTGAGTACACCTAGGTCAAATCCAGGGACGACTGGGCTGACTCGAATTTTCATCTTTATGAATCTAAGTCGGTACCACGCGCAAGACTAACTTGCGCCAAAATCATATTTCCGCTGCTAATAAGCGTTGAGGGTCAGAAGGTGGGTGCGCGGGGCTAGAGAGAGGTGTGGGGGGACCTGCGGGACAGGTGGCGTTAGCGAGACTGGCGGCACCCAGAACGCCAAACCCGACACCGGGCCGGCTCCACACGGTCGGCGGGATTAAGCGCTAAAAGTGGCCCCCGGTGGCTCGCGCGGTGGGGCTCACGTCGATACTGACCCTGCCGGGCCCATCAAGGTTAAGGGTGCTCGTGCTCGGTCTCTCGGATCGGCCGCACCAACCAGTCAGCGTGGAGCGGACCGCCGGGGTGGGGAGACACTGACCTGCCCTCCACAGGTCCCCGACGGCTGCCCATTCAATCAGGGCCGCGCTGGACCGTGTGACTGATTGTTTACAGCATTTCCGAGCGTATCAATAAACCAGAAGGTTCGCACACTTTTAATAGCTATAAGACATTGTGTTTGCGTGTGCCTAGCGTGCACGTGTGCTGGCGCACCAAGAAAATGGAAAGCTGTGGGAACCATCGTACGGTTCCTTCAGGACCAAACAATAAAATATAGTTCAGGCGGCAGGATACCGCAGGAGCATTGGACAAAAATACGTTTACTACCACTGGCATATCGTCTTCTGCACCATATTTTACGGTTCCCTAAAGAAACCGTGTACGATATTTGCCACAACTCTTCATTTTTCACATGTAGTGTTCTCTTTGTCCTCTCAGGAGGCACTTAGCTTCAGCGCCTGCGATCACCGGGGTAGGCAACGTGCTGTAGACCGGTGCAACGCACCACAGCTGGAGTGCCTACGTCTCAGGCGCTCAGCGTGAGCGCGTGCCTGCAATAACCGCAAGAAAGGCAACGTGAACGTGCTCAACTCCGGTGCGATGCACCACAGCTAGAGTGCCTACGTCCCAGGCAGGCGCTCAAGTCAGCAACCCTAAGAAAGGAGACGTGCTCAACACGTCTCCTCTGCGGTGCAGAAGGTGTGTCCTCAGCGCCTGCGATCACTGGGGTTGACAACGAGCTCAACACCGATGCGACGCACTACAGCTGAAGTGCCTACGTCCCAGGCGCTTAAATAGGCAATCGTTAAAAAGCCAACGTGGTCAATATGTCTCCTCCTCTGCGTGCTCAACAATACGTCTACTCAGTGGCACTGAAGGAGTGTCCTCCCAGGAGGCAAGCAGCGTGAGCGCCTGCGATCGGCCGGGTAGGCAACGTGCTCGACACCGGTGCGACGCACCACGGCTGGAGTGCCTACGGCCCAGGCGCTTAGGGCCCTACCCGTGCCTTATCAGGAGAGCGGAGAGGGAATAGGAATACATCTTTAGGCTTGCATACAGGAGGACTGAAAAGGGTAGGGGAGAGAGTGCGCGCTCTGTCATGACAGGAACTGATTAGGCTAGTTGCAGCCGCAGAGCACTGATAGGGTCGTTCCTATCTAATCATCCTACTCCACTTTTCCTAACCTAATAATGTCCCAAACTCGTTATTCCTAATTTTCGAATTGCTTATTTCCTTTTCCTATTTTTCAATTTTCCTATTTCAGTTCTTCTAGCCTAGGTGTTGATGGCGTGGCCCACAGCCCAAAGGTACACTGTAAAAACATTTGTTGTAATTTTAAGACAAATGGGTGGTAACATTTTTAGCACAAACTGCTCGTAATAAAATCCCTAGAACAGTTCTAGTCGTCAAGTTACAACATAAATTGTGAAGATAAATTGAAAATACTGTTTTGTCGTCACAACTTAAATTGCGAAAACCATATTTCTCCCGAAGCAGAAGAAGAACAAAAGAAACAAAAAGTAACGGAAAGTACCCGGAGTTAGTGAACGCTGTGGAGGGCGTGTGGAGAGCGGGTGGAGAGCGGGTGTTGTTCGAGGGTTAACCCCGGCGCGCTGGCGCCGCCCTAGAGCCCACTAGGCTAGCCGTGCGTGCGCGCGTGGACCAGAGGCGGGCAGTCGGTGGTGAATCGCTCGCTAAACAAAAATAGCCCCGCCCCGCCGGAGGGCTCAGCCGCGAGGGCGGGACCCACGGGGGAGGGGAGGAGGGGGAGCGGGACAGGCAGATGGGTGTGGCAGAGACGCGGGGCGGGTCGGGAGTCCCTCGAGCATCCCAGGCCCAGCGTAAACTATTTGGTGTTGATGCACCGAATGCAGTGCACGGCAAAAAAAAAAAATGTATGGTACGCTGTGACTTCAGAATGCACATATGCATGCAGACCTAGGCACTTCAGTTCGGTTTAGAGGTAGAGAATGATAACGTGCTAGATATTGGCAAAACCAGTCAGAAACTGCCAGCTGTCTTCTCTATAGAGTTAAGAAAACTCAGTGCGCTCTCTTTTTGTTGCAACTTGTAATATCGCAATAGATCGTGCAAGATCTATTCCATGTCACCGGGAAGGTTGTGCGCGAGCGTCCAAATGGGCCCCTGCATTTGTCTCCTAAGTGGCCACCGCGCGACGCTCGGAGTCGGTCATAACGACCGCCATCTCTGTGAGCGGCAGCGCCGACTGGGGCGGTAATGGCCCCTGACGTCTTAAAAATAATACCGACCGGCGTTAAGGCCAACGTGGCCGTCACACGTGACCGTCGCAGGCCGCGGGGCGGGCGTCCCTCGAGTGTGACTAGTGTCACACATTTACGGAGGACGCGCCGACTAACGCCAAAGTGGCACACGTGGCCATCACACGCCGAAGACCGGACGCCCGTTACACGTACGGGGTGACGAGTGTTACACAATGGCAAAGATGGATGCACGAACGAGGTGTGCCGCACGTGACCGCCACACACGGTCACACATCGGAAAGTAACAGTGAAACAGGGTGCGTAGCGGGACGGGCACCAAACACTGGTGGAGACAGAAGAGTGTGCGAGCACTAGCACGGTGAACGCCACCATGACGCGTCCAAATCTCTTCTCCGGCGGTAGCTGATTTGCTGTGAACTACGCAAGTACTCGTGCATGTGAGTGAGAGAGAAAATATACTTTTAAGTACACGCAGACAACCAAAAACACAGAAATGAAACATTTATCACCGTTCACTCTGGAAACCCAAGTGTGCACACGATTCAGTTTAACAGTGCATGTATGCAATGCAGTTCTTAGCATAGTAACGTGTGTCACTAAATACCTTCTATGTACGTAGGGGATAGTTTCTTCCTGGTCACGGTATTTAGTACCTCTTGCATGGATGGCCCCGCATACATACACTATCTCCTGCAACGGACTATTCTCAGTAAACGTCGAATTCACGCACACAATTGGATTTCCACTCGTGTCGCTTCGGGAGCCATGCAGACCCCGACAAAGAACGACCGGCCGAACATAGACAATAACAGATGCCTTGAAGGGCCGACGGCCGACGCAGCCTAGACAGGCAGAGCGGCACGACACAACCGCCGTAAAGGTATGCAGCCCAATTGGCGCCCACCCCCGCCCCCTCCCCTAGTAGAGCGCGGAGTATCTCCGCCACCAACGCGCCGAGCAGCGCGCGGGGTATGGCCGGCGGGGGGTTGATTCTCGGAAATACGCCACTCTGCCGAGGGCTCGACACTAGCGCCGTCGAGTTAGACAATCCACCGGGGGTGAACAGGTCTCTCTCTCTCTCTCTCTCTCTCTC